GGCTTTCCATAGTTTCTTTTCAAAGTTCATTTCTAAGATGTATTGTTATTTCCTAAAGATAATAATTCTTTCTCGAAGCTCTTGATATTTTTTCAGTTCCATTGGTTTTAAACAGCTTGCTTATGGTGTACCTAGGTCTAGTTTTCTTTGTGTTTTCCCTAACTGGTATTCTCTAAGTTATTAGAATCTATATATTAATTTATTTAATCACTGTCACTTTTATGTGGAATATAAAATGTGGCACAAATGAACATATCTACAAAAGAGAAACAGACTAAGAAACATAGAGAATAGACTTGGTGCAAAGGGGAAGGGGGATGAGGGAAGGAAGGACTAGGAGTGTGGTATTAGCAAATGTAAACTATTATTTATAAGATGGATAAACAGCAAGGTCCTACTGTATAGCACAGGGAACTATATTTAATATCCTGTGATAATCCATAATGGAAAAGAATATTTTTTAAAAAAGAATGTATATATGTGCATAACTGAGTCACTTGCTGTACAGCAGAGATTGGCACAACACTGTAAATCAACTATACTTCAATAAATCATAAATAAATTTTAAGAAATAAAAATAAAATTTATTTCATCATTAGGCTTTCTGACACATGTTATAACTCTTTACTGTATTATTTTCATTATGTTGGGTGGATTTGCCTCAATTAAGATACTTTCTAGTGATCTCTTGAACTCACTAATGCTGATTTCTAAAACTAAAAAAATAACATATCCAAAATTAGGTAATCACTAAATATATTTAACAGTAGACTGGATATGAAGACAGGATGAGTCAAAAGATACTGTGGTTCAGGGGCTGAAAAATCACTCTGGCCTAGGATATCTAGGCTTAGAGATTTGGAGTTTATGATGTAAAAAATATAAAAAAAAAAAAAACCCTAAACTTCCAGAGTTTAATGTCCAATAACTTCATGAGATCTTAAGCACTCAGGTACCCAAGATGCTAAAATTCAGGGCATATTGCATCCCATAGCTTTCCTCCAATGAATTATGTGGTTCTTTCAGTAAAAAAGGCTACACTGCCACAGGATATAAGAACTTGATACTTCTAGAACCACAGGGTACTATGGTTTGAAAAGCTGCTTCCAGAACTTTATGGATTCAGTCTCTAAAGTCAAAATCTCTTTGGCCTATGGCTGCAGGATTCTGTTTCAAGGGTGCTCTGGTAGGTGGGGTACAAGACTGAAGCCTAGATGGACCCAGGACTCTATGGCTTCTAAGCACTATAAGGCCAGTGCACTGTATTCTTCTGGCTATATAGTCAAACAAAACAAAACAAAACAAAGCTGTGGCCCCTTGACAGTTCTGAATCTGAAATGACTACAGTTTTAATGTTTTTGACTCATGCTTTATGATGCCAGAGTACTCTAGCCCAAAGTCTCTATAGCAAAGTGAAAATAAGTCCAAAAGAGAAAAACAAATACCGTATGCTGACACATATATATGGAATCTAAAAAAAAAAAGAAGTGTTTCTGAAGAACTTAGGGGCAGGACAGGAACAAAGACGCAGATGTAGAGAATGGACTTGAGGACACTGGAAGGGGGAAGGGTAAGCTGGGACGAAGTGAGAGAGTGGCATTGACATATATACACTATCAAATGTAAACTAGATAGTGCGAAGCAGCTGCATAGCACAGGGAGATCAGCTGTGGGCTTTGTGACCACCTAGCAGGGTGGTACAGGGAGAGTGGGAGGGAGAGAGATGCAAGAGGGAGGAGATATGGTGATATATGTATATGTTCAGCTGATTCACTTTGTTGTACAGCAGAAACTAACACACCATTGTAAAGCAACTATACTCCAATAAAGATGTTAAAAAATAAAATGAAAGACACCTCATTAACATAGCAAAAGACACTTTTTATCACTCAGCACTTAGGAAATTCAAAAGAGTTTTAAGAGCTCTGTGCCTATGGAATCAAAAAAAAAAAAAAAGGTTCTGATGAACCGAGGGGCAGGACAGGAATAAAGACGCAGACATAAAGAATGGACTTGAGGACACGGGGAGGGGGAAGGGTAAGCTGGGACGAAGTGAGAGAGCAGCATTGACATATATACACTACGAAATGTAAAATAGATAGCTAGTGGGAAGCAGCTGCATAGCACAGGGAGATCAGCTCTGGGCTTTGTGACCACCTAGAGGGGTGGGATAGGGAGGGTGGGTGGGAGACACAAGAGGGCGGGGATATGGGGATATATGTATATGTATAGCTGATTCACTTTGTTATACAGCAGAAACTAACACAACATTGCAAAGCAATTATACTCCAATAAAGATGTTAATAAATAAATAAATAAACTGCGGTATATTCATACTCTGGCATACAACTCAACAATAAAAAGGAATGAACTACTGCCATACACAGCCATTTAGATGATGCAGAGAATTGTGCTGAGTGAAAAAAAGCCAATTCAAAAGGGACACACTGTGTATATAATCTATATAACATGTATGTAATTTATATAACTGGATTGAAATGACAAAATTATAGAAAGAACAGATTAGTGACTGCCAGCAGTTGGGGACAGGAGGGAAGTAGGTGTGGCTATAAAATGGCCAGATGAGGAATCCTCATTGTGATAGAAATGTTCTGGTGTTTTGCTGTATCCCTATCAGTGTCCTGGTTGTGGTACTGTATTATAGCTCTGTAAGATATTACCATTGGGGAAAAAATAATTTTAAAATGCCAACCCCCTGACCCAATCCTATCAAACAACACACTAGGGGTTGGGAGCACAGAATACCTTGTTCTTAACAAGCTTTAGGAGATTCCTATGTACCTGAAATTGGAAAACCACTGCTATATATCAAGTATGTTCCACATGTTCACAATTTCTCACCAACACTGCAAGTTCCCACTGACTAAATTACCATCATATTCCAGCCCAGCCTCCTGAGATCTATGGAGTCCCCGAGGTTGGAGTGTGGGATTTCCCCAGACTCTCTCATACATCCTTCAACAGCTTGCTCTCCCTCTGCTCCTATGGAGTGCCACTCCCACAGCCATTGTCTGAGGACTTTGCTAATATAGTCTTCAGGAGATAACTTTATTTACATAGTATTGGAAGGAAGCCCTTGCCATACCCACTAAGCATGTCCACCAACAGGAACACAAAAGCAGACTTAATCCTTCTCTCTGAATACCAAAGATTTTCCTTTTCATCCAAAAGACCACCAGGCTCACCCTGTGTAATAGCCAATTTCCCAAAACTTGCCCTCAAATTCCATAAAATTAAATTTAAAATATATCTGGTAAAGATGTGAAATTTTTGTTAACTTTGAAAGTGACATAAGAACGAAAAAATGTTTTCAATGATTAGAATTAAAAGTCATGATTGTTTGTATCAAGGAAAGAGAGATTATGCAAATACTTTCAAATGATAAAATAATCTCGCACTTCATTTCTGAATGCACTCACTGGGATTCAAGTTCACCAAGACACAATCAGACATTTTTATTCAAACTGTCTTCCCAAGTACTTTACGGTCTCTTAACTTGGCACTGTATATGTTTCAGGTGAATTATGAACACGGAACAGGTCTAGGACTTTAAAGATAATATGCAAAGCAGATAGTGCTTTGATTAGAAACTTATTACTAGTGTGGATTTTTACATTGTTAGACATGAGGAAGATTTGGGGCAATTGTCAGGATTCTTTTTTCTTTTTGTGTATTAAAAATATTTGTATTTAAGCATAATTAAATGTTTAACCTATAGACCAACAGCTAAACTCAACTGGTGTGTGTGAGGGTGAAACTGATACAAAATTAATATTTTGGAGGGGACATTTTGTCAGCTACTTAGAGAACGCCAAACTAAAGTAATTAGCGATAGATCTCCATGCCTTTCCTCAAATGCTGTAATTGACTGCAAAACATAGCATTGGAGTGAATTCCTGGTGTGTTTTTCCCAAGTGACCCCTTCATTCAATAAATACTTATAGTACCAAGCACTGTTCTAGGTGTTGAAATACAGTGGTAACCAAACAGACGAGACTCCCTGCCTCACTGGGACTTACAGACTAGTGATGTTAGAAAGCCTCCCCAGAATGTCACTGTGGATATCACAAAGATATATTCTTAACTCAGATCCCAGCTATGCCACTTATGAGATGTGTGACTTTGAGAAAGTCATTACTTCTCCATGCCTCAGTTTTAGGGAAAATAAATATTTGCCTCACTGTGTTGTGATGGTTAAGTGAGGTAATATAATGGAAGAACCTTGAAACCCCCTTCCATGTTAAGGCTGCTGGATACATGTTATTTAACTTCTGTATTAGCATGTTTTAAATGCAGAGCCTCTTTCAGAGAGATCGGGGACCAATACAAATTGTCAAAAGTAAGGTTTTTTTTTTTTTTTTTTTTTTTTTTAACTAGGAGAGGGGCACAGCCCATTCTCACTGATGCTTCAAACATCCCAAGCACCTAAAAAGTGCCTCCTTTGAGTGAGATTTGCTTGTCTCATCCCCCAGGCATGTACTCCAGGGCTTTCATGATAATAGATCTGCCTCACTCTTCCTAAAATTAGGCAGCACTTATCTTGGAGATATCGGTGAGGCTATCACGGGCCACTCAGGAAGGCATGTTACTAGAGAGCCCATCACATCAAGAAGTCTAAGTAGGGAACTCCTTGGTGGTCTGGTGATTAGGACTCCACACTTTCACTGCCGAGGGCAAGGGTTCAATCCCTGCTTGGGGAACTAAGATCCTGCAAGCCTCACAGCGCGGCAAAAAAAAAAAAAAAAAAGTCTAAGTAAATTTTCTCCAGCCAAGTCCTGTGACACACAGAAGAGTCACTGGCTATTAAAAACTCTCAGACGTCGGTCATACACACCAACATCAAATAAAAGAGAACCAGCTAAACCCATCTGTCAATAATCATAATGAAATCAATTCCAGTTCTCTGCAGGCTTTGAATACTCCAGACAGTCTGCATACCTTTAGGCTTTGAGGTTTTAAGACCGTTAAACCTTTCTCACCTGTTGTACTAGAATATCTCCGATTCGATTGATGACGAAATTCCTGTCGTTGCCAATACAGGATTCTTGCCTTCGCTCCTTCATACTATAGAAGAAATGCCTGTGGATTTCAAGTAACTCATCTAAACAGGGGAAGATTTTATCCACAGTGCTGTGGTCAAGCTGCAGCTCCTCCTTCATCCCTTTCCTGAAGATCTCGGACATGATGAACAGGGTCTGGATGTGATGCATTTCTGTCTGCATTAGCTCTGAAACAGGTGAGCAGAAACAAGCTTTAAAAAAACAAGTGTCCTCTGATGTTAACTAGACTTACTGTGGTGATCATTTTGCAATATAGACAATTATCATTAAGTTGTACACCTGAAACTCATATAATGTATGTCAATTACACCTCAATTTTTAAAAAAGTATCCCTATTGACCTAAATTAGCAGCTAAACACTGTATGTTACACAAATAAAAAAAAAGAGGGAATGTTTAGGAATAATAATATTCTTCTATTGTTGAAGTCAGCATTAATTAAACATTTAATGTAAGCTCAAAATATTAAACTATTCTCTTTTTTCCAGACATTATATGAGGATATGTATAAGTCAAGTCCAAGATGTAAGAATCCAATGTATCAAACTTTCATAATATAACCAGCTAACATCTTTAGGTATCTTCAGTTGGGCACCAGGTTTTATTTTCCCCTGAATGCTCTATAAAATGTAACTTAGTTTACCCCTTTTCTTTCTTTTTCCTTCTTTCATTTTTTGTGTGTGTGTGTGTGTTTTGTATTGAGTAGGAGCACAATTAATTTGGTGAATTATGTTGAATTAAATATAATAAAGTTCCTCAATGTATACAACAGTAGGTCCTTTCTATTATTGGATCTGCCTCTGAAATTCCATTTTCTCCAGGAGAAAACAATGTGTCATGATCAAGGGACATCATCAAGAGAGTGAAAAGACAACCCATACAATGGGAGAAAATATTTGCAAATCATGTATTTGATAAGGGACTTGAGTCCAGCATATATAAAGAACTCTTATGACTCAACAACAACAAAAAAACCCACTTCAAAATAGGCCAAAGATTTGAATAGATGTTTCTCTAAAGAGATATACCAATAGCCAATGTGCACAAGAAAAGATGCACAACATCATTAGCCATCAGGGAAATACAAACCAAAACCACAATGAGACACCACTTTACACACACTACAATAATTGTAAGTTAAAGGATGAACAATGAAGAAGCCGTGGTAGGATGTGGAGGAACTGAAACCCTCATACATTGCTGGTGTGAATGTAAAATGGTACAGCTGCTTTGGAAAACAGGCAGTTCTTCAAAAGGTTAAACATAAAGTATGATGTGACCCCCAAAGTGGGAACAGCCCAAAATGACCATTAAGTCATGATTATATGAACAAAGTGTGGTATATCTATACAATGAAATATTACTCAGCCACAAAAAGGAATAGAGTGCTGATTTCTATTACAGCATGGATGAACCTTGAAAACAATATGTCAAGTGAAAGAAGCCAGGCCAAAAAACTAAATATTGTAATGTTCATAGGGACATATTCATAGGGACAGAAAGTAGATTAGTGGTTGCCAGGTACTGGTGGGAGGGGAGTGACTGCTAATGGGCACAGGGTTTCCTTCTGGAGTGATGAAAATGCTCTGGAATTAAACAGTGGTTGATGGTTGCACAACTTTATAAATATACTAAAACTTTACAAATATACTACAATATAGATTATACACTATAAAGGGGTGAATTTTATATCTCAATTTTTAAAATGCATCGTGAGAGAAAACAATAATTCACAATTTGTAGGAGCATCAGAAGTACAAGTTCTAGATTAATGAGTATTTCCAAGCTCATGTACATGTTTTGAAAAAGAACACAAAACATCAGCCATGGAGGGTAAACAAATCTAAATGTAGCTTTATTATTTTATCATAAACAAAACTCTAATTGGGAACTGACTAACTTTAAATTATTATTATTATTATTAATTATTGTATCCTACCATATTTTTAATACCTACTCCATACTAAGCATCTACCATATCCGTTAATCCATTTATCTATTATGACCCCCAAAATAGGAATGATTTTCCTTATCTTTAAAAGAGAGATGTGAAGAAGAGAGGTGAAGGATTTTCCCTAGAACACAAGACTTTCTGACCCTGAGGCCATGCTGTGAATTACACAACATGATAATTCATCCCACATGGGTGAGATTATTTTTAATAATATATGAAATCAAGAAATAAATGAAGAAAAAATTACAGTATAATATAAATTAAGTGAGAAATACTAAAGGGGACAGCATCACTCTTTCCAAGGTAGCTCCCACCTGCACAGCCCTAGATGCCAGCACACTACACATCAGCTCCTCTGATCTACATAACCACCACTTCACACAGGAGAAAGCGGCCATCGTCGCCACCGGACTTTGAGGCCCATGCTTTGCACACACAGGATTAGCAAAAACTAAGAGTTAATCTCATATTTAAAGTAAGGTATCTTCTTGGAGCCACTTTTTAGCATCTACTTCATATTTGAAAATTTTTTCAAGTTCTTTTTTTCCTAACTAGTCTATATAATCTAATCTCCCTTAATTCAGACGGCCTTCACCCCAAATAGCATGAAATCGTAAAACCTCCCACAGTTGAACTCCATACTCAGGACTGAGGAACACAATCACACACGGCCCTAAGCCAGGTGCCGCCAGTCCCTCTGCATCTATGTGAGTCGCAGTCCCTGGCTGTGTGCAGGCAAACTACAGGGCCCTGCATGCAGCAGCCCTGACTGCCCTACCTTAAAATAGGTGAACAGTCACTGTGATTCGTACAACAGAAGAGGTGAAAGAGTAGAGACCATGCCTAAGTAAACTTGAAAAGGGTAGAAGACATAAAATTTGCTTATACCAGGTACAGACAATGCCTCATTTAAGCCTCACAACATTTTAATCCAGAGTATCATTATCCCCATTTTACAAAAGGAAAAACTGAGGTCCATGTGAGTTAAATATTTTATTTGAGACCAAGTAACTAGGAAATGATAGAACCGGGATTTGAACCTAGCCTTGAATCCAGGTATGTATGGTTTCAAATGCCATACACTTTCCTCTGCACCACACTGCTGGAGCCCAGAAAGAATGTTTGAAATGCTTACCAAAAATGACATCCTGTCTTTTGATGACATCCTTCTCCTGCCTACTACAAAATGAGGGGTCCACCACCAGACTCCAAGATTCTGCTTCAAACCCCTGGGCATCACTGCTGAGGTCACTCCACAGAGAGGAATCCACGACATCTAATGTGCGTTGAAGAAAGAAAAGAAAAGCCAGAAGTGGGTGAACACACATAACACAAACAGACCTTCACAGGTGCCCATGTTTATGGATTCATCACCCTAAAGAAACCTGCTATGAACATAGAAACAACTAAGCCAAAATACTGTGATATACAATTGAAACATCTGAAACCAAACAAGTGAAATGGTTCAAATCAAGATCGCCCTCATGAAAGCAAAGCAGAATCAGGTATTAAAATAGTGATTGTGTATATGCAAAAAAATATATACATACTGAAGATTCTTTTGTTTGTTTGTTTTTTGACTTGTTCTATTTTAGTTTTATTTTTGGTAACCTGCAGAGTCCAGGATGTGCTTACAGAATCTTAAACCCACCGATTTCTTTTGCCCTGGGTTGCTTTGCGCTGTTTACTCAAAACTGAATCTTGTACTCGTCCACTTTATTTGCTCTTTACTTGGCTTGCTGTCCTTAATATAAACGTGAAGCAGGGTATAAGGCCTCCAGTCACATGTGAGTACAGATTTTTCTGATAGAATTGGACAACACACATATACCCCTTTCAGGAAAACGAAATTCTATTTGCACTCCTTAGAGATATCTAGCTCAGAGACGTCAAGATGTGATGACAATGGATTTAAAATAAGCAGATTCCTGGGGCTTCTCTCATCACTACTCTCCCTTCATTTGGTTTTCCTTTGCCTATTAATACGCTAGGATAAAACAAGCAATTCCCCAGATTGTCCTATCCAAAAACATGTTTTTTAAAAATGCTTTTATTGCCCTAGAAGTAGGAGGCAACATACAGGGATAAATATCTCAGCAATCCAGGCAAGTCCAGTCTTAAGTAACTGAAATATGTATTTTTAATGTATGATCCTATACCAATTCATCAATAGCTGTAAAACATTTTTAAAGAAGAACAAGCACATATTTCTTTCTCTTCATGACGTTTATGACATATTCTTTGGGGATTATGTCCCTTTAAAAAGATGCATCATGTTTCCTTGGTCACTATCTGGGAGTCTCCTCTGTGGCTCAATTTGCATTCTTTTTAATCAGAAGAACCTGTAGGGCAGTGGAAAGATGGCGGAGGAGTAAGACGCGGAGATCACCTTCCTCCCCACAGATACACCAGAAATACATCTACACGTGGAGCAACTCCTACAGAACACCTACTGAACGCTGGCAGAAGACCTCAGACCTCCCAAAAGGCAAGAAACTCCCCACGTACCTGGGTAGGGCAAAAGAAAAAATTAATTAAAAACAGAGACAATAGAATAGGGACGGCACCTGTACCAGTGGGAGGGAGCCGTGAAGGAGGAAAGGTCTCCACACACTAGGAAGCCCCTTCGCGGGCAGAGACTGCGGGAGGCGGAGGGGGGAGCTTCGGAGCCGCGGAGGTGAGCACAGCCACAGGGGTGCGGAGGGCAACGCGGGGAGATTCCCGCACAGAGGATCGGCGCCGACCGGCGCTCACCAGCCCGAGAGGCTCGTGTGCTCACCCGCCGGGGGCGGGCGGGGCTGCGAGCTGAGGCTCGGTTTCGGTTTCGGTCGGAGCTCAGGGAGAGGACTGGGGTTGGCGGCTTGAACATAGCCCGAAGGGGTTAGTGCGCCACGGCTAGCCGGGAGGGAGTCCGGGGAAAAGGCTGCACCTGCTGAGGAGGCAAGAGACTTTTTCTTGCCTCTGTGTTTCCTGGTGCGCGAGGAGAGGGGTTTTAAGAGCGCTGC